GGGGGGGGGGGGAGAGGGGTGCAGCGCAGGTTGGAGCGCGGCGCTGTTAGCAGCGGGTCGAGCCAGTGCGTGCGTGCGGGGTGCGGGAATGGCGGCAGCTGTCGCGCCCTGTCATTGGGTCGCTCGCGGCGCCTGGCAACACACACGAGGTGTGGGCGGGCGAGCGGCACCCAGAAGCGGGGCCCTGCGCACTTATCAGGCGTCCCGGGGCGCCGCGGCAGACACCACTGCCGCAGAGACGGCCGGCAGCCCGCGCCCCACAGCACCCGCCGTCCATTCTGGCACCCCCCCAGCTATCGTCTCTCGGTGTTAGTCACTCTGCGCCGGCCCCCCTCCCCCCCTTGAACCAAACCACCCAGAGCCCCGCCCACCTTGAACACCTCGTTGCTGGGGCTGCGGCCAAACTCGACCAGGTCACCCGGCAGCAGCCTGACCGTCTCCCCGTCTCCCAGCCGCCGCCCGTTGACCCACGTCCCCTCGCCCGCGCCCGCCAGGTGCTGCAGGAAGTGGTCGCCCGCGGGGCCGTCGCGCCACGCGCGCGCGTGGCGCGCGGAGGACACCGCCGCGTCGTCCACGAGCAGCAGGCTGCCGGCGGCGGCGTCCGCAGAGTCGGCGGCGGCGGCGCCGGAGATGACGGCCTCGTTGTCGGCCGTCAGGTAGATGCCCTGGACAGAACAAGCGAAGTTTGGACCGAGCAGAGCAGCGGGAGTGGCATCGGTATTTTCAGCCCCACTCGAATGACGGCCGCCAGGTTTGTGCGCCAAAGCTAGCCAACGCGCCACCTCCACTCCCTGCGCAAGCCATGGGGCCAAGCCCACAGACAGGCGCCGATACCCGACGCGGGCGCGCCGCAGCCGCGCCTGGTCGCGAGCCGCTCCACCCTCCCCACACTGACGCACCGACAACGACGCAGCGCGCCCTGCCCGCACCTTGGCCTCGCTGCAGCTCGTCGCGTCCGCGCCCGACCCCTCCGCCGGCACGCGCTCGGCCAGCAGCATCCACCGCGCGTGCGTCGCGCGCAGCAGCGCGTCGTTGTCGCGCATAAACAGCTCAAACTCCTTTTCGCTGAAGAACTTCAGCCCGTCGGTGATGCGGCACGCGCCCGGCCGCTCCGCGCCGACGAGCGCGCCGATGTTCCCGCCCAGCACCCAGGCCAGCACCGCCGGCATCGTCGCCAGCAGCGCGACCTGGCCGGTCACGCGGCCCGGGTGCGGCAGCTTCCAGCGCTGGATCCAGCTCAACGGGCCGAGGCCCTCCCCCAGGTACGCCTTGTACGTCGACGCCATCATCGCCGCCATGCCCGCCATGCCGTGGATCGCGGCGGCGCGCATCATGCGCGAGTCCTGGTATTTCTGCAGCACCGCGTCCATGTCGACCTTGTGCGGCCGCCCCTCGGCGCCGGCCTGCGCGAGCGTCAGCTCCTCGGCCAGCGTGAGCGCGTCCTCGATGGCCATGCAGCCGCCCTGCCCAAGGTTGGGCTGCATCGCGTGCGCAGAGTCGCCGAGCAGCGCGACGCGGCCCTCGTGCCACTTGAAGATGGGGGCGCGGTCGTAGATGTCGCGGCGCAGCACGTCGTCCTGCGCGAGGGGGGGACCGGGATTGCGGCGGCGTTGCGCAAAGCGGGGCAAGCGACCGTGCCGTCTGAACGGGGGCTGCGCAGAGCCTGCTGCCCGCTGATCGGATGAGCGAGAGGACTGCGACGCGCCGCCGCCAACCAACCCACCCCGCTGCTTTCAGCCCCCCCTCTGTGTAGTTTTACACACATACACACACACACACTCTCTCTCTCTCTCTCTCTCTCTCTCTCTGCCCCCCCTCTCTCTTTCTCTCTCCCTACCTCCCTCTGTCCGTCTGTCTCTCCCCTTCTCACACACTCACACTCACGGCACACTTGCGGCCCCCTGCCACACCCC